GTCAGGGTTTGATTTTTTGCCTAGAATATCCATACATGCCCTCAAAGAAGGAATATGTGGATATGCGGCTTAAGTACTATATTTACTGTAGTAGGTATCAGTTTATGTACATTATGGCCTAATTATGGTATCGTTTTAGGGGCTTCTTTGATGCTGTAAGAAGCCGCACATGCAATGGTAGTCTCGTCAAGTCCAGACAAGGGCGAAAGTTGGATAGAGATTGGTGTCTGACCAGCTCAGGCTAGATGGTCTTTTCGGAAGTTAAAAGGACTTCCGGTGTGGGTTGAGGATGTGGCAAGAACATGTTCGTGGTAGTTCCGATTCGGCAAGACCTCCGAGTAGAGGTGTGAACAGCAGAACACAGAAAGGAACTAGGGGAAAGCTTGCACTGGAAACGACTGCCATGAGTTTGACTGTTTGCTGGCCGTTATTTGCAGAGTACAGAGCGGGACTGGAAGGTATGTAGGTTGCAAAAATCAGCGAGGTTTCACAATGAGGCTGTTCCTTGAGGAGTGTCCCTAGTTGTTTATAACCTATGGGGGGTCTCCGAAATGGGGTACCCTTCAAGGGGGGGGGGGTCCCTTTAAGGGGATTGCCCCAAATTTGGGAACTACTCATATTTATATATATATATATATGTATATAGGATCTTTCTAAGGAGGACCCAGTCAATGTTTGGGTCTCGGCATCTGTCTCGAGCTGCAGTTGCGGGTTGTGGTTGTCAGATTTGGGATTGCGTTTGGCTTCGTAGAAACCGTTCTCAGCCCCTAAACAGCGCCTCATCGATATGAAGGAATGGGACTCAAATGTAGCCAGACCATACGTTACCGAAATGACTACTCGTTCAGGCTCCCACGAACCACAGGAAGGAGATGCGCTTCCCCAACTTCCGGCAGAAGGTCTCAAAGGGTTTGGGGACTTGGTTTTGGTTGTTCAGGTTGATTGGTTGATCAATGAGGGGTTTTGTAGGTTGAGGTCGGAGTTGGGGACTCAAATCGCGGGCCCTACTCACTGTACTGGCCTCTCTATTGCGGACCCCGCGGTGGAACTACAGTTGTTCGGATTGGACACATGTTCACACGATTCGTCAAGGAGCCTGACCAGAACCTCCAAACTACGAAGCCCCAATGTAAACCGCCCCCACTCCCCCCCCACCCCCCAGCCCGCCCGCCCCTCCCCGAAACTTAGAACCCTAAAACCCTAAGGCCTGCAAACCTTAAATCCGAAACTCCAATCCCTTCATCCCGAAACCTGAAACTCCAATCCCCGGATCTGGGTGAGGTGGCCGAAGCACGTGGCAAGCCACAGCCTCCTGGCTGCAACCGACTGCTGAAAGGATCAGGGGACTTAGTAAGCAGTTACTATTCAGGGTTTAGGGTTTAGTGTTTCAGGTTTAGGGTTTAGGGTTCAGGGTTAGGGACTGAGTAAGTAGGGCTTTAACTAGTGCAACTACAGTTACAATTTCTTAAAACCCCAATTAGGGTACTTATAACCCTACTTACTAAGTCCCAGATCCTCCAAGTGCGCCTTCAGTAGCTAGGATGCCCAGTGGTGCCCTTCTTCCCTTTGTGGAGGATTTAGGTTTATCTATAAACCCCTGTGAGTCAAAAAGGGCTTCTTAATCCTAGGTTACTGGGCAACCTAGGTAGGGGTTCGGATTTAGGGTACGATTTGTCCCTCAACCCCCCCAGTAGAACTGCTATATACATTTGCTCTTGGTTTACACGTCCCTTTTCTGGGCAGGGGAGACACCTTCTACCTGCAGAACACCCTGCTCCACCGCGAGGCCCAGTGTGCGTGTGCAGCATGTGCTTGTGCGTGCGCGGGGGGGGGGGGGGGGGGGGGGGGGGGGGGGGGGGGCGGGCGGGCGATCGGCGGGCGGGCGGCGGGCGGGCGGGCGGCCGAGCGGGCGAGCGGGCGAGCGTTGGTGCCGTGGGAGTGTGTGGCGCGCGCAGCGCAGCGACCGCTGGTGTTTGTGTGTGTGTGTGTGTGTGTGTGTGTGTGGTGGTGTGTGGTGTGTGTGTGTGTGTGTGTGTGTGTGTGGTGTGTGTGTGTGTGTGTGGTGTGTGTGTGTGTGTGGTGTGTGTGTGTTTGGGCGTGTGTGTTTGGGTGTGTGTGTTTGGGTGTGTGTGTTTGGGTGTGTGTGTGTGTAGTGGGTGTGTGTGTGTGTGTGTGTGTGTGTGTGTGTGTGTGTGTGTGTGTGTGTGTGTGTGTGTGTGTGTGTTGGTGTGCGTGTTGGTGTGTGTTTGCGTGTTTGTGTGTTTGTGTTTTTGTGTGTTCTTGTGTGTTTGTGCGTTTGTGTGTGTGTGTGTTTTGTGTGTGTGTGTGTGTTTGGTTATGTGTGTTGGTGTGTTTGTTGTGTGGTGTGTGTGTGTGTGTGTGTTGGGTTGTGTGTGGTGTGGTGTGTGGTGTGTGGTGTGTGGTGTGGTGTGGTGTGTGGTGTGTGGTGTGTGGTGTGTGTGGTGTGTGTGGTGTGTGTGGTGTGTGTGGTGTGTGTGGTGTGTGTGGTGTGTGTGGTGTGTGTGGTGTGTGTGGTGTGTGTGGTGTGTGTGGTGTGTGTGGTGTGTGTGGTGTGTGTAGTGTGTGTGGTGTGTGTGGTGTGTGTGGTGTGTGTGGTGTGTGTGGTGTGTGTGGTGTGTGTGGTGTGTGTGGTGTGTGTGGTGTGTGTGGTGTGTGTGGTGTGTGTGGTGTGTGTGGTGTGTGTGGTGTGTGCGTGGTGTGTGTGGTGTGTGTGTGGTGTGTGTGGTGTGTGTGGTGTGTGTGGTGTGTGTGGTGTGTGTGGTGTGTGTGGTGCGTGCGGTGTGTGCGGTGTGTGCGGTGTGTGTGTGTGTGTGTGTGTGTGTGTGTGTGTGTGTGTGTGTGTGTGTGTGTGTGTGTGTGTGTGTGTGTGTCTGTGTGTGTGTGTGTGTGTGTCGTGCGGGAAGTGGCACTAGCTGCGCAACTCTGTTTCGGTGCATCTGCAAAGGGGTAGGTTTTTCCGACTCTTAAAACGCCTCTGAACAGAGCTTTCAAGAAATCGATTTCGCGCGACGGCGCATCGAGTCAGGACACTGCTCCTGGGCCGCCCCTGCCGGCCGGGCCACACAGCCATCTCATGCGGGTTCTGAGGTTTAGGGTTTACGGGTTCAGGGTTCAGGGTTTAAGGTTTAGGGTTTAGGGTTTAGGGTTTAGGGTTTAGGGTTTAGGGTTTAGGGGCTCAGGGCTTAGGGGCTTAGGGGTTTAGGGGTTTAGGGTTTACGGGTTTAGGGGTTTAGGGTTCAGGGGTTTAGCGGTTTGGGGTTTTGGGGCTTAGGGTCAAGAAGCGACATGCAAGGGAGAACTTGAGGCCCACAAAAGCTGCAGCGAGGCGCAGTTCTCCAGGTCCTTGATAAATCCCTCAGCAACCCCTAAACCCCAACCCCCAAAAGCAAGCAACTTAACAGTCCCAAAGCGCCCCCCCCATCGCGTTGGCTTGGCAAAGTCCAGCAGAGATGTTCTTAAAGCCCTCAACCCTGAACCTTGAACCCTAAACCCTGAACCCTAAACTACCCTAAACCCTGAACCCTAAACTTTCCTCAGCGAATGCTCGGAAGTTCGAGGAGTCCATTGACAGGGTAGCCCTTGCTGGGCTGGATCAGACCTGAAGACGCTTACGCAAACTCAATCCCCATGAATCTCCATGATATATCTCCCGAGAAGCCCCGACATCCTAAGGGTTTAGGGTTCGGGTTTAGGGTTTGGGGTTTGGGGTTTGGGGTTTGGGGTTTGGGGTTTGGGGTTTGGGGTTTGGGGTTTGGGGTTTGGGGTTTGGGGTTTGGGGTTTGGGGTTTGTGGTTTGGGGTTTGGGGTTTGGGGTTTGGGGTTTGGGGTTTGGGTTTGGGTTTGGGGTTTGGGGTTGGGGTTTGGGGTTTGGGGTTTTGGGGTTTTGGGGTTTGTCGCGTTTGGGGTTTGGGGTTTGGGGTGCGTTTTGGGTTGGGGGTTTGGGGTTTGGGTTTGGGTTTTGGGGTTTGGGGGTTTGGGGTTTGGGGTTTGGGTATTTGGGGTGTGCGGTTCCTTGGGGTTTGGGGTTTTGGGTTTGGGGTCTGGGGGTCTGGGGGTTTGGGGAGTTTGGGGTTTGGGGTTTGGGTTTAGGGTTTAGGGTTTAGGGTTTAGGGTTTGGGGTTTGGGGTTTGGGGTTTGGGGTTTGGGGTTTGGGGTTGGGGTTTGGGGTTGGGGGTTGGGGGTTTGGGGTTTGGGGTTTGCGGTTTGGGGTTTGGGGTTTGGGGTTTGGGGTTTGGGGTTTGGGGTTTGGGGTTTGGGGTTTGGGGTTTGGGGTTTGGGGTTTGGGGTTTGGGGTTAATCTTAAGCCCCTGTAAACCCGATCCTCTTAAGCCCAAGCCCCACCCCAAACAAAAAACATGGATGGCACCCAAACCCCAAGCCTTAAACTCCAAACCCTAAACCCGAAACCCCAAACCACTAAGGTCGGAGGCTTCGGCACCAAATGTGGTCGCGAGGCATCGGCTGCAGGGTTTATAGGGTTTTGGGGAGGACCCTCCTTGCTTTGGGGTTTGAGGTTTGGGGTTTCCGGTTTGGGGTGTAGGGTAGGGTTTATAGGGTTTTGGGGAGGACCCTCCTTGCTTTGGGGTTTGAGGTTTGGGGTTTCCGGTTTGGGGTGTAGGGTTTGAGGTTTAGGGTTTGGGGTTTAGGGTTTAGAGTTTCTACGCAGTTGTTCTTCTGTTGTGAGTGATGCAGTTGTCTCGCGCCCCTAGGCCCCTAAACCCTTTTTTCCTACCCTCAACTCTAATGCCCTAAGCCCCAAACCACAGGCTGTCATGTCACGGGCTTCGGGTTTAGGGTCAAGGGTTCGGGCATCCACTGCCCTGAAGTTAGCCCTCAGCGCCAAACGCTCAGCTCTGGTGCGCTTCGCTGTCTAGGCTACCTCAATGACTCAAGTCATCATGCTCGTTCTTAGATCTTCCTCTACGTGTTAGCAGGTCATATTCTAGAGCTGACCGCAAACACGCGTGTAGCATGACAACATGTTGCTGATGCAAGATCTGGTGCAATGGCTCGAATCGCCTGACGCGACAGATGACGACCAAAGCACCATCGACAGCGCATGGTCTCTGCTTCGGAGAGCCTAGGATTCGAGAATCATGTGTGAACGGTTGACCCTGCACCTAAACCCTAAGCCCGAAAACCTGAACCGTAAACCCAACCTTGCAAGAAACCGAGGAGCATGGAGCCACAAGAAGGCCGGAAATGGCCTTGTTGCGGGGAAGCCGGCTGACGCAGCAGAGCAGTGCCTGGTCCTCACTTCGGGTCTCTACCGAGGTTTAGGTGGTGGTTTAGGGTTTAGGGTTTAGGGTTTAGGGTTTAGGGTTTAGGGTTTAGTGTTTAGGGTTTAGGGTTTAGGGTTTAGGGATTGTAAACCCTAAACCCTAAACCCTGAGGAACTGTGCTTTATACTGGTTATGAGTTGGTCGTTTCAAATCTTAAGGGCATACTTGAAACATGCGATGCTCATTCTGATGTTTGGTGTGTACAGGCTTAGGTTCTCTAAACCCGCAAAAATTCTAAGCCCGAAACCCACCCTGTGTACCTTGAGAAAGGGGCATGTATCAATCAAGGTATCTCTTGTTCTTGTGTGCATCTACTTTTTATGGTGAGATGTGGGTTACTCTCGTAAGGGGCCCTGAAACCCCAATGTCCCGAACCTATATGCCTTAAAACATAACGCTATACCAACGAAGAGGGTACATGCCACATCCGTTTTAGGAGCTTAGGTACGGGTTTAGGGTTTATTGAGGGTTAAAAGGAGGGACCCCTAGAAGGGACCCTTAATCTTAATTCCCCTATATAAGCCTATATATACCTTATATCGTCCCTATATACTGACGTAGCCCCTAAATAGCCCCCAAATAACCCCTAACGTCCCTTATAAGGGTCCCTCCTTTAGTCCCAAGAGTAGGGTTTAGGGCTTCTAGGGGCCAGGGTTTATGGTTTAGGGTTTAGGGTTTAGGGTTTAGGGTCTAGGGTTTAGGGTTTGAGGGTGCGAAGGTACTCGCTGGGGCTGCGCTGCGTTGCCAGAGCTGCCAAACTCTTTGCCTTGGAAGCGCAACAAGGGCGCTTTGGAGAAACATTGTGGGGCCTTAGGGTTTAGGGCTTAAGGGTCCAGGGTTTAGGGGTTTAGGGTTTAGGGTTTTAGGGGCGCTCTGGAGGAACATTCTGGGGCTTTGGGGGCTTGTGGGCTTTAGGGTTTCAGGGTTTAGGGTTTGTGGGCCTTGGGGTTTAGGGGTTTAGGGTTTGAGGGTTAGAGTTTAGAATTTAGTGTTTAGGGTTTGAGGGTTTGACGGTTAGAGTTTAGGGATTGTGGATTTAGGGTTTTGTGGTTTGAGGGCTGATCAGTTTAACATTCGCCGTTTGAGTCCCTCTGCCCGGATCTTCACAATGCCTTTGCGATGACTGTGTCCCAAGACCAAGGCAATCGGACCCCTTCGAGCACAGGGATTTCGAAACGGCTGCGAAGCTCGTGGAAGGTGCCGAGCCTGTGGTCCTGGGAATTGTTAATTGATAACCCCTGGACCCTATCTCCTTTGAACTATTCTGCATGCCAAGATATGTTGCACTGCTTCCCAGCGACCTCCTCAAGCTTTGACGCACCTCGTATCAGATACCCATCGCACCCCCCTAAGCACTAACTTCCCCCCCTCCCCCCTCAGGCCTAAACGCCCCAAAACCTCTTAAAGCATCCTGAAACCCAGATAGCTCCCCAAAGCTCTGCGGCCCTGAGGTCCCGGAAGCAGTTTGGGGTTTGTAGGGTTTGGGGTTTGGGGTTTAGGTATGCTAAACCCTAAACCCTAAACCCTAAACCTTAAACCCGAAACCCTAAACCCACAAAGCCGAAGCCCTTCTCCTCCAGGTGCCCTGCATCGTAACCTCAGCCTCGTGACGCAGCAGCAGGGCCAGTTCGAAGCAGCTGCCACTTTGTTCGATGGTGTGTGGATTTCCGAGTTTAGGGTTCAGGCTTCAGGGTTTCTGAGTCTAGGGTTCAGGCTTTAGGGTGTCTGAGTTTAGGGTTTAGGGTTGAGGGTCTAGGGTTAGGGTGTAGGGTTGCCCGCCTTGTTGACGTTTGCTCTCGAGTTGCAGGTCTTTGCAGGGAGGGAAGGGTCAATTTCGGGCGGGGGGGGGGGGGGGGGGGGGGTGGAATTCTAATTCCGACCTAAGATGGGTGAGAAGTGAAGCGGTGTGGCTTCTTAGGGTTTAGGGCTCAGGGATTAGGGTTTTTGGGCTTCTAGGGTTCGAGAAAGCGCCATGATGTTGAAAGCAACGCCTGCTTCATCCCTTCCTAGTCCCTCAAAGTAGGCTTGCCTTCGCCTTGGAGCACTGGCCTAACCCTACACCCTAAACTGAAGAAACAAAAAGCCAGACTTCACAAAGAAAACTCACCCCGAAACCCTAAACCCTCTTTGTTTTTGAGAATCCACGCTAAGGTCTGGCACGCCAATGCCTCTCTGGAGGCTGAGCCAGGCGACTGGGTTGGGGGTTTAGGGGTTAGGGTTTAGGGTTTAGGGTTTAGGGGAGTTCAGGCGGCTTTTGTTTGGCTCGTGCGAAGATGACGGTCCACCCGGCAGCTACAACGGCCTTACACGCCTTGGAAGAGACAGCTCTTCTGTACGGCATGTCTCTTGATCTAGGATGCCCAGTAGTACCCTTATTCCCTTTTTGGGGGGTTTAGGTTCCCTTATAAACTCCTTTAATTAAGCAAAAAAGGGCACCCTTTTTAAGCCTAGGTTACTGGGCAGCCTAGTGATTCTTCAAAGACTGAATTGCTGGCAAGCCCCACAGACCGCCGACCTAGCCTAATTTTGCTTCGCCGCTACCAACCACATTACGCGTCAAGTGCTGATAGGGCCATTATAGGGTCCGTGATCTCCCGAAACAGCCTTCCGACATAGGGCAGGAGTGGCCGAAGAAGCAGAAATGAACTTCGTTTACTGTAGAATCGTCCTGTTCCACAATGCAAGAAATCATGGTTTTTCAGCCTATTCTCATATCGACCCTCATTTACGGACTTGATGGCCAAACGCTTATGCTTACATAGTGCCTAAATATCTGCCGCAGCAAACTGACGCCTGGTTCATACGTTCTTGCGTAGGGTCGTAGGGCATAACAGCTTTCTACTACTCGAGAGTCTCCAAAACGCAAAGAGGTGTAGTGGTTCCACGAGGAAACCCTTCGATACCCTCAATCGTTTGTCACGCAACCATATGTCACGTAACATGCTCCAAGAAGTCTTCCTCCAGTCCCCTACTTGGAGGTTCCTGGGTAGTTTTATGTTTGCTTGTAACTGTAATTCTAACCTTCTGGCACTGTATGTATAACCTTATTTAGGGTACTTGTGGCCCTACTTATAACTACCCGTGAGTCTCCAAATAAGGAACCGACCCGTCTCGTAGTTTCTTGTTCCCCGTTAAAAGATCGTACTTAACATCAGGGTGGTCGAAAGGCATTGAGGTTTCCACACAGGATAGAGCTCGCAACGAAGCGATTTTTTGCCGCCGATTTGGGGATCAGACCATAGCGCCCTACATACACCAAGTTATACAAGACCCTAGGCAAAATCGGCGCCGAAGCGCACGCAGCAGTCGCGCGCAGGGCTCTGCAAAGAAAGCCTCCTGAACTCATAAACCCTAAGTTGGGATGTTCCGCCGCATACTAACAGCCCTTAATCGGGATTCTAGTATGCCCTTATTATCATCCCTATTCAGGTCTAGTATTATCATCCCTATGCAGGACTAGTGTAAGGGGGAGCATCCCAATTCCCAAGCCCTATGAGCCATACACTGCCTTGCAGGCAACCTCAAGTCGAGATATCGGCGTGCTGCGGCCTTGATGCACCTGAACCGTCGAGGCAACAGGGTTTAGGGTTTAGGGATGTTTAGGTTTATGGTTTAGAGTTTAGGGGTGGGGAGAGGGTTTATGGTTTAGGGCTTCCAGGGGGTTAGAGGGGGTTTAAGGGTACGTAGAGAAGGTGGTCGGTTTCGGGACACAGCTAGGGTATAGCTAGGGGGTCAACTTTTCGACCCCGAGGCCGTTTTAGAAGTTCCGCTCCAGCTTCGTTTCTTCCGGCTTTGGGGTTGCCCTCCACGGGCTCAAGCATCCCAAGTGATGTTGTCAGACCCTGTAAACCCTAAACGCTGCATGGGCGGCTGTCAAAATCATGGTCCCTTTTTGGATCCCTATTATAATACGGCACCAAATATTTAGGGTACCCCAAAAGGGATCATAATTTTGACAACCACCCCAAATCCTAAACCCTAGACCCTATAAGCCCCTAAGCCCCTCTTGGCAGGTGAAGCAGAGGCCGACCTGAGGGCGATTCTGACCCAAGAGCCGAGAGGCTTGGCTGCTCACAGTTTTTTTCGGCCCCAAGGCCGCGACATTGGGACTGGTTCAGGGCTTACCCAAAGGCTCCATGTACCCTTATAGTAGATACCTAGGCCTTAAAGTACCCTTATAGGAACCCCTTTAAGGCCTAGGTATCTACTATATGGGTACATGGAGCCTTAGGCTTACAGGCTTCTTGTAGGACTTCGCATAAGGCGAAGAGGATCATGTTTAGAAACCAGCCAAAAAGACCCCAACTTCGAACTCGGCAGGCCCCTGAGACGCTTTCATATTTTCCCTCAGATTTAGGAATTGTTTTCAGAGGGCTTTAAGGGGCGTCCTAGCGCCCCTAAACCCTAAACCTTAAGCCCTGTACCCGAAACCCTAAACCCTAAACCCTAAACCCTAAACCCTAAACCCTAAACCCTAAACCCTAAACCCTAAACCCTAAACCATCCCCACTTAGGGGTTGGCCGAGGAAACGGCGATGCCCAGCGCCTGCTGCGGTGTGCCCGTAGCCCTGCGCCGGGCCAGGATTTAGGGTTTAGGGTTTTGGGTTTTGGGTTTAGGGTTTAGGGTTTAGGGTTTAGGGCTCTTTGCAAAGTAAGTTGCCCTTAACAGGGTACACTTCAGTGTAAATGACAGTTACTTGGTACATTCATTCAGATATGGCTTATTTGGGCTTAGTTCAGTAGTTCTTACATAGAGGCTTGGAGTTCCAGACATTGTCTGGCTGGGTCGAACAAAGTTTGGGGTTTGAGATTCTAGGCTTTAAGGTATTGCGGGGTCTTGGGGCCTTTAGGGGTTCAGAGTTCTCAGGGCCTTTGGGGTTTAGAGCTCTGAGGCCGTTGAGGGTGTAAGAGAGCTGTGGTCATACAGCAGAGGTCCTGTGCCATGCTGTCAGGGCCGAGTCTTCCGACAGACGCATTCCCAAAGCATCCTGGGGTTTTCTTGAGAGGTTTCGCACAGTGGCGTAGCAGCATACACCCTAAACCTTCATTTATGTTCTTAGATCAGAGAAAGAATTCAACTACATACATAATGACTCTCTAGGCAAGCAAACCCCATACCTCTTCCTTCCGAAGGAGGAGACCGAGTCAGATGCTCCAAAAGCCTGTGGCTGCAGCGTTTGCCAGCTCTGGAAAGACCAGCTTCTGGGCAGCACCGCAGCCGAGCTACTGAGACTTGGAAAGCACTTCAGTAGGAAGGAGGGCCCTGAACTCAGCCACCACCCACGGCCCACCGCCCGGCACACACCACACACCACACGCTGCACATCACACACCAGACACCAGACGCCATACACCAACAGCAGCTGCACCGACGACGACGACGATGACGACGATGACGACAGAAGCAGCCGCGGCAGTGGCGGGAGGGGCAGCTGCAACATGGAACGTCTGTACAGAACAGGGAAGTGCCAACGAATGGATATTCCCGATAGGCTCATAGGCCCTCAACCAACCTGTGCTTGTTGCAAAAGACCCCACATGCCTTGCAAGCAAGGAAATCAGGAGCCAAAGGGCTTCTCACCCGACGAGATGCGCAAGGTCGCACAGCTCTACACCTTGCAGTGTTGGAGCAAGAGGCCTGCCAAACATGTAGTCTTTGGGCTGCCAAACGGTGTAAGCTACAACAAAACGACAGAGTTTCGAGCGAGGGGTCGTTGTGGCGCCGGCTTCTTGTTTACTTGCACATCGTACTTCGGGGCGCTTCAAGTTTGGGCGCATGAGTCCTAGCACGGGTTTAGTGGAACTTTTCAGGGTCTTGTTGGCAGGAACACCCCCGGCTAAACCCTAAACCCTAAACCCTAAACCCTAAACCCTAAACCCTAAACCCTAAACCCTGCAGCCTAGCCCCGAGATACGAATGCTAAGTCCAATCGAAGCAAAGCCCTGTCCAGGAAGGCTATGAATGGGGCCTTACAAGCCCCCTAGTCAACCCTATAAGCTATGCCGATATGGGGATTTCCGAAATTAGGGGTACCTTTTTGGGTCCTTCTTGTAAGGGGATCCTATTTGGGGATCGATTTTGGTGGTGCCTCATTTCGTAAACCCCGGTATGTGGCAAGTACTGCAACTAAAAGTCCTAAGGCGCAGAAGAAAACCATCAGCCCAGCCCCACCGGCATAGCACTTGCAAGCCCCGTGTTTTTGGCGGGGCTTGAGAATGAGCCAGTTACCCGTGAACCTTCAAGCAGGACCCTGCAACGCTACGCTTCATACAGAACGAATATCAACAACTGCCCATGAACCTTCAAGGACCTCCCAAACCCTAGGCTCTAAACCCTAAACCCAAAACCCTAAACCCTAAACGATAAATCCAATCTGCAGGGCTCGACCGGGTCTTCCCCCCGCGGTAGGAATCGAGCTTCCAGGCACGCAAGCTCGCTTCGGATTTGGAGGTTTTGTTGCCCCGAACCCAAAACCCTTAGTGCCTAACCCCTGAAACCACAAGCCAGGGTTTCGGGACATTTTGTGTTTTCCCTTATTTGGGCTCAAGAGGATCATATTCAGGAGTTTTTTTTCAGAGGGTTGTAGTGGCCAACCTAATTATAGGGGTCGGAATAATTACTGATCGTGTTCCCTTATTTTGGTCCCTTCATAAATATACTATAAGAACCCCCGAAAACCCTATTGAAATTCTCAAGGCCCCTCCATTACTCTAAACCCTATAAACCCTAAACCCTAAACCCTAAACCCTCTATGAGGACCCCATGGGGGCTTCCATGAGACTCTGCTCCTCTTGAGGTGCCCTGGGCTCGTGGAAGCACTGCTCGACGCCGGCGCAGAGGCTCCAACTCCGACGAGGGTTTAGGGTTTAGGGTTTAGGGTTTAGGGTTTAGGGTTTAGGGTCGTCGTTGCTTAGGGCTTATGGAACTGTACGCTGTCTCTTGTCTTTAAATCTACAAAAAGTAGATGCTCTCGCTAGCTCCGGTCATGTATATATGAATATTGGTATGTTTCCTCAGGCCGTGCGATCGTCCTGTAGCCAGTTGAATTTGGTGCGTATCTTCACACATTGTGTGAAGATTGTGATTTGTGTCTGTCAGTCGGTCTGCCTGTCTGTGGCCTTGGTCAGGTGGAGCTTGCCGATGTGGACGAAAGGACCGACCACAGTCCGTTGCAGGCGTGCTGAAAGTGGGTGAAAGCTGCTTTATGACTGCCGAATCCGAGAGCACCCTGTTGCATTCCCCACAAGGGACCTGCACCTTGTCTCCAGTTCAAGGGCAGGGTGGTCATTCTGGGTCGCGTGCATCATGCAGGACGCCGCTGCACTTGGCGGCCGTTGAGGGAAGAACGCAGGCAAGCGTCAGAGCCCTCAGCCCAAAACCTAAACCCTAAACCCTAAACCCTAAACCCTAAACCCTAAAACCCTAAACACGAAACCCTAAACCCTAAGTTTTTGGGAAGGCTTTCTCTTCGAGACACGGGGCTTACATCCCAAGGTCTCGGGACTAAGAGGGTCCACAGGACGTGTGGTTACCAGCATGGGCTGCCTACGTGGCTGTTCATGGGTAGATGCTAGATTCTCATTGGCTCAGCGCGCACTTTATTCAGTGCTTAACGCCAAAGGCTGTATACTTGGGCCCAAAGCCCAAAGGCTCCATGTACCCTTATAGTAGATACCTAGGCCTTAAAGTACCCTTCTAGGAACCCCTTTAAGGCCTAGGTATCTACTATATGGGTACATGGAGCCTTAGGGAAGGCAGTCCGAAAAGCCAGAAGCTCCCGCTTCTGGTCGAAGACAGGCCACTAGCCTTCTGCTGGATGCCGGAAGCTCGCCAGACACGCTGGACCGCTACTCGCCTGTCGTGGTTTGTTTATAAGGGTTTGGGTTTTAGGGTTTAGGGTTTAGGGTTTAGGGTTTAGGGTTTAGTGTTTAGGGCTTACGCTTGGGGCTTTCGGGGTCCTTACTTACATCATTGCTACGGAACCGTTGTTGATTTTGCACCGGATTTTACTGTTTGGGGCTTTTACGCCCGAAGGCAAGGACGTCAACCTACAGGTTGGGATGTTCCCCCTTATATTAACAGTCCTTAATCTGGATTCCAATTGGGGGTACTAAAATCCTTGCTAAGGACTGTTAGCAAAAGGGGAACATCCCAACTTACAGGGTACCATGCCATGCTATCAGCTCGAAGATCTCAGCGACCTGTCGACTTCATGATGGCTTTCGCGAGCCATTGGGCTAGCCCTTGCCTTTGTGCTGACATTCTCAGAGTGCTGGCTTGAGGTTGATTTCTTGGTTCGGTGTCTGGGGTTTACAGGCTTCCCGGCTTCCATACATCTTTTTGGGGGCTTTGGCGGGCTTGGGGCTTGATGCGGTGTGTAGGATTTTAGGTCTTACCGGGTGTTTTCACATTTGACTTCACGCCAACATCTCCTGACCTGCGAGGCTTCGGACGCAGCCCGCTCTACTACGCAGCACAAGGAAACCACAAAGACGTCGTTGCGCCTCGGACTGTGGCGAATATGTGGAAAGTTTTTGTCCGAAGAAGCACAGCAAAGCCGTTAGCAGCTACCCATCCTCACTTACCAACAGCCTGCCAGCGCCGACTGAGACTCAGGGGCCCTCTCTTACGGCACTTTCTGCAGCACCACCGTCATGGAACTCAACAGCATAAGAGGGGTGCACATGCTAGTCCTCTAGCGCCCTGACTGGCGGATTCTGAGCATTTGGACACGTTCCAGGGCGAGCGCGCATGACAGCTTGACGCCACAACATTGGAATGTTGAAACTTGTTCCCCACACAGTACTGTGTGTCAAAACTACGGGGTTCCTATAGGCCGATGTAGGTAGAGCGGCGCCCGCGGCCGGCACACACATGGGTTTTCTCAAAGCCCGCTCGCACTTTGGGCGAAGATCGCACCCTCCGTCCGGGCTCACGGAATGCGAAGGCCTTGTCGCCTATGGACGTCCGGGCTCACATGGTCTCTCACTGTTTTGGGGTCTGCGCTGGTATCATTTAGCACAATGTATATAGTTGTAAGTATACGAGTAGTTAGAACATTTTCCCATTCCCTGTTGCAATATCAGTCCTAAACCCTAAGCCCCAAACCCTAAACCCTAACCTAAACCCACTTCGACACTGACTTGCTGGGTGAGGCACTTCTTGTGGATCGGGGGCACGCGGATCAAAGCATCCTCTTCCATGCCCTGAAGGCCCGACGCTGCTCAGCGTTGGCCAAAGACCCCCCTTTTAAGGGGAACTCAGCCCAAACACCCCCTTTACAATCTCCTGTTTGTGTCTTTTGGTAGGGCGTTTTGGGTTTTTCTACACCTAAGGTGTATAAGAATGTATTTACCTTAGTTATCCGTAGTTTGTATTCGGATCCTTTTTGCAAAACCCTAAACCCTAAACCCTAAACCCTAAACCCTAAACCCTAAACCCTAAACCCTAAACCCCCTCTTGGGGATGCCAGGAGAAGTTTGGCACGCACAACTTTGTGTTGCATGACTGGCCGGAGTACAACGGCCGCTGGATGTCGCCCGGGGCCCAGTTAGGGTTTAGGGTTTAGGGTTTAGGGCTTAGGGCTTAGGGTTTAGGGTTTAGGGTTTGGGGTCTAGGGTTTGGGGTTAAGAGTTAAGGGTTTTAGGGCTATGGGTGCGTTGAGGCTTTTTTGTCGGCAAGGGCAGTAGATGTGAAGGTCTCATGGCCGACATCTAGCGAGCTGTCCAAACATTTTTAATCGCACGATATCGGGCTCATGCAGCTGCACGAAGGTTGGGATGATGGATCTGAGTGTTAGCTTGGGCATTTCCGTGGGACAAGACACTCCACTTAACCCCTTTTTTGCACCCTAAGCCTTAAACCCTTCAACCCTAAACCCTCAGCCCTGCAAGCCCTTTAAACCCCTAGACAACCTGTAAACCCAAAGCCCAAAATCACACAGCTGAACCCTTAAGCCTCCTAAAGGGACCTCCAACCGGCTCCCCCCTTAAATAACCTTAATTGGGCTGAATTCTCCCTAAATAGCCTTCATTCTGCGGGCACCTAGGGTGGGTAGAGGGAGGGAGGAGGCCCGCCAACAGCTCAATTGTCTTTTTGGTGTGTTTTGGTTTAGGGTTTATAGGGTTTATAGGGTTTATAGGGTCTATAGGGTTTATAGGGTTTATAGGGTTTATGGGGTTTATGGGGGTTATAGGGTTTATAGGGTTTATAGGGTTTATATATATAGGGTTTATCGGGTTGATATATAGGGTTTATAGGGTTCATAGGGTTTATAGGGTTAATAGGGTTAGGCATAGGGTTGAGGGAGAAGTGTCCCTCGATCCGCCCGACACCTGTCCATCTGTGCTGCGTAGCCGGGCGCTGTCGGTAAGCTGTCCTTTGTTTAGGCTGAAACAACCTTTCTCACCGAAGATTTCCGATCACAACTGGAAATCAGAACCCCGTTTGAGCAACGGGTCTGGTTTGTAAGGTCCGCGTTCGGGTGGGCGGGGGGGGGGGAGGGGTACTCTCAGGTGGGCCTCTCGAAGTTCGCACATTTCGCGTCAGCGCAGCCACCACTGCAGAGGCCCCCAACCCCACAGGGGCGTCCTTAGGGACCTCTCCAGGCTCCAGGCCCCTTCAAAAGTCTCCCGCCGGGGGCACAATGCACTCTGTGACAGAGCTTGGCGACCAAGCCAAGGGTAATGCTGGCGAGCAGAGCCACAAGCTCAAGGCTCAGTGTATGAGTTTGGTTCAGCCGGTTCTGGCTTTGGCTGGCTCCGGCTTGGGTCTTCGGGCGTTCTTGGGGTGGGCACGACTTCATATTCACCAGCACACCCCTTGTAGGATCCCCAGAAGCAACTTCCAGCCTAAATACCACAAACCTTAAACCCTAAAGTCTAAACCCTAAACCCTAAACCCTAAACCCTAAACCCTAAACCCTAAACCCTAAACCCTAAACCCTAAAGTAAAAACCCTAAACCCTAAACCCTAAACAATAAACCCTAAACCTCCTTTTCTGCCCCGACAGGTCGAAAGAAGGGCGGCTTCCCGACTTGCCATTGCGAAGCGTGGGAGAGTGCGAGGAAAATTCTCCGGGACTATGCAGGGGTGAAGGGCGTTAGGGGCCAGGGGGCCGAGGAGGTTTAGGGTTTAGGGTTTAGGGTTTAGGATTTAGGGTTTAGGGTTTAGACTTTAGGGTTTAGGGTCACAGGTTCTACGTCTTCGTTGGCGCTTCGAGGTTGAATCAGGTTAGGGGGGTTCGGGTTGGCTAGAATTGGGTTTCTTGTACGGCAGAGCAACTATGTCGATTACTTGCGTGTAGATCTTCGAGCATAATGTGTTTGCAGGGCCAGGACAGGTGGGTTCAAGGCGAATCCATCCCACCCCCTCCTGAAGTGGGGTTTAGGGTTGAGGGTTGGGTTTCATCCCTCCCTAAACCCTAAACCCTAAACCCTTAACCCTAGACCCTAAAGACAAACAGTTCTTCGACTTCGTCGGTGAGCTTGTCAGTCGATCTCCGAGACAAAATCGGGAGGTTTCCGAAGTTACTTGGAGGTTCATGGATCTCTGGCAACTGTACTTGTATAACCGTATTTAGGGTACTTCTCACCTTACGTATAACTACCCCTGAACCTCCAAGTAGGGGCACCTTCTTGGAATCCTGAAGAGAAGGGAATCCTACTATTCGGGGGTCTATGTTAGGGGTCCCTTATGCTCGTAAACCCCCAAATCGGCGCCAGTGGTGCCTTGTGGACCTCTTCATAGGGTTTAGGTTTGCGGCTTATAGAGCTGTGGGTTCAGGGCTTAGGTTCCAAGAGTGCAGGGGTCTGGCCGTTTCCTGTATGTGTGGCTATACCTTATGCAGTAGTACCTTTTTTTGCTGTTGGGGGGTCTTTGGTTCCCTTTTAAAGGAGCACCGTTGTTGGATCCTACTCATGGGTTCCCCTACCCCGGGGCCCCATAATTAAGGCGATTTAGGGAGAAATAAGCCTAACTAAAGTTATCTAAGTAGGGTAGAACCTAGGGGGGGGGGGGGGTAGTATAGAGGGGGGTAGTAGGGAAGCCCATGACCCTCAACCCTAAACCCTAGATCCCAAACCCTAAACCCTAAACCCTAAACCCTAAACCCTAAACCCTAAACCAAGGGGGGTGGGTAGGGGAAGCCCATTTGTGCAGGTGGCAAAGGACATCCAGAGCTTCCGCTGGGACTGGCTGAAGGAGATGATGGGGCCAGCGCTTCAGATCCCTTTTCACCATCAGGCCCCCGAAAACCCTATATCAACCCTATGTCAACCCTACATAAACTCTATATAAACCCTATATATACCCTATATAAACCCTACATAAACCCCATATAAACCCTATATAAACCCCATATAAACCCCACATAAACCCTATAAACCCTAAAGGCTCAACCCAGAACCCCGGTTCTTGTTGCCACTTGAGTTTACGGATCTTTCATACATAGCTGCAGGTCAACAAAGGTTTGGTTTGCAACTTGCCGCTCACCCCCCCCCCCCCGCCCTCTCCCCCGCCATGGCTATGTCTTGCACGCCCTATACAACGGGGTTCACGCCAAGCATGTTCCCACGCAGGTAGTGCTAGAAATCGTCTATCACCCGAAAGGAAACCATTCTTCAGGTAGAGTTCCGTTTCTTTGGGGGTGGGGGGGGGGGGGGGAGGGGAGGATTCTGCTAGGATTCTGAAAAAATTTAGGAATGATTTTCGGAGATTCCAAAATTCTTCGTCATGAGCATGCGATGTTCAACCACCCTCACGCCCAGATGCAGCAGCCTTGAAGGCTTGCTGGCAGGCTCCTACGTAGTTATACCTGAGGTTTGAAGTAGGGTAACTCTAGTTAGGTTTGACAAAAGAAGCCTAAATCCTAAAACCATCTAAGACCCTAAACCTTAAACCCTGAACCCTGAACCCTGAACCCCACACCCTGAACCTTCAAGTAAAAAAGCTTGAAGCGGCGCACCAGAGCTTCCGAGGCGGGAAGCGCAGATGTGCCAGCTGTTCTGCGGCCAGCTGGGCTGGGTTTAGGGTTTAGGGTTTAGGGTTTATAAGGTTTATAGGGTTTATAGGGTTTATAGGGTTTATAGGGTTTATAGGGTTTATAGGGTTTAATTATTTTAATTATAGGGTTTATAGGGTTTATAGGGTTTATAGGGTTTATAGGGTTTATAGGGTTTATAGGGTTTATAGGGTTTATAGGGTTTATAGGGTTTAT